AAAACTAGTTAGAAAAGGTCTCTAAACTAAACCCACGTGTCAACCACAAGACATGTTGTCAAATCAACAATTTTATAATTGGAGGCACGCGTCAGGCCTTTCATTGGAAGCAAGAAAACGGAACTAATCATTAATTACATATCATTTTTAAATGATTATCCATTTATAGAAAATGAGTAAACGGAACTAATCATTACTAAGCAAATTAATGAGGTTTTGACTTTCGCACATAAGCAAATTATCTGATGCAAATAAATTTTTAATTTTTTTAACATATTAAAACTATTATTATATATTAATTAAAAAAATAAATTTAGTAGAATTTAAATACATCATTCATAATAAATAAATGATTTTAATTTAATATTCATACCATTAGATTGTAATGAACTATTTAAATAAATTTCTAATTTGAAAATTGCAATATGATGAAAAACAAATGTTCAGAAGTGGTCTCCTCCATTAATAGACAAGGTTAATATTTTTAAAGATTATATAAAGGTTGGGATTCTTGTGTTTTTTATTCTTTTATTATATTATATAAAAATACTATATAGTAATGAATTTGAGAGAGATCGGGAACGAACACCTCTATGATTTGTCTTCTCCTGATAAAACTTTTTTATGTAAATTACTTAAAAAATTTATATTAGGAATGCAATTTTTATTTACTCATATAAAAAATTTTAAAAGTTATATAGACTTTATTGATTATTCACTTTAATCACACACAATTCGATTGAAATTAACGTAATAAATTAAACAAAAAATCAAATCACAAATTAATCTTAATTAGATCGATCCATAAATGGATCATCAAGTTTATTATGACAAATACAATAACATAAATAAAATCAACAACTTTAGTCCTTAATAATTACTTAGGAGTTGACAAAAGCACAACGCTTCCTGATCTGCCCTTGCTCGCCCGTGAGAACTTCAATGTCTCCCATCTTCACCATCGACTCCGCAAACTGCCCAAAGAACGTTGATGAAATGAGGAACTCTTGAACGATGTTGCGAGCGTCCTCGTTAGTAAGAAGCGCTGCATCGGACTGAAACAGACCCTTGTGTTGCTTCAGGGTGACATAGTAGTGATTGTCGAAGTTCAGAGCGCTACCGGGGTCCATTGCGACGAACGTGGTGTTGTCGCTTAGGCTCTTGCATTGAGTCTTGAGGAAAGCAGCGTAGGTCGGATCCAATGAAGGGTCTTGATCGCCTTTTCCAGTGAAGTTGTAGAGCCTTTTGCTAAAGGCATTGCAGTGCCCTACTCCGATTGTGTGTCCACCTGCATTTACATTAACACATTTAGCTATTAATTAATACTGTAGGAGTTTGAATTGCTGATTTTAACTAATTAAAAAGTTATGCACTTGAACCTGATAATACGACAAGGTCAACCACGTCGAGGCCTTTTTTAGCAAAATTTTGTTTAAGGACGGTGAAGTTGGAGAAAGGAGAAGGAATATTGCCCAAGACTTCAGAAGCTCGTGAAATGATGCCATCTCTTCTACCGGAATACACTTTCCAGAGATTTCTTTTATACTGAAAATATCAATTGTTCGAAGAAGGATAAAGCTATAAACATAGACATAAATTCAAAGGTTCATACTTGTTGCAGAACTGCATTGGAAGTGCATTCCGAAATGAGTGTGTTTTTACTTACTTGGAATGAAACAGAATCTCTGGCAGCCAAAGCAAGAATATCAGCACAAGACACAACTCCTGG